AATGAATACAAATACGTGTTCAAGAAATTTATTAAGAAAACTAACATATATGTATAATAACAATGGAAATATGCATTTAGGAAATCGATAGCTTCTGAAGAAATAAATAAAAAGAGTGTATATCTAAATAAATATTTAAATTATTTGTATTTTCTATTTATTCGTTTTATGCGTGTACAACTTATTTTACGTGCGTACTTGAATTCGTATATATGTACACAAGAATGCACCCTCCGCGTAGATATGTTGTGTGCGTACATACGCGGGGGCGTTTGCACTTAAGCGTTTACATAATATGACGTTCTTGTTCAAAGTATTGTATGTTTATAAGTATAAAATATTATATATGATTGTTTTTGTTATAAGTTGTACTCAAAATTATTTACATTATGTTTTTATAAATATATTTTATAAATATATTTATATGATAGGATTTTGTTGAAACATAAAATCGATTTCGTAGATGACTAAAAACTGAACATTTTAGTTTAAGGAGACAGTTTTAATCATTAAATTATCGTACAAGAAATCTATTGTGAAAATTCACAGTATATATTATACTTGATCTAAATGTGCAAAATTATAATACAATAATCTTTAAATTGCATTTTCATTGAATGAATCTTTTAATTTTATTCCCTGATATTTGTTTTTTTCGCATCTCTTCGTTTTATATAACTTCATAAAGATCGTCAAGGGCTGCCGCATCACTCCGCAATGGTCCCTCTTATTCGTTGGAGCACTCAATGCAGCGGAAAAATGTGGACGACACGTTAAGAAGCAAAAAGTAGCAAGAGGTAGCTTCTTGAAAAACTTCTAAATTAATGACGAAATCAGAACCATTATGACTGAGACACACACAACATAGTATATATAAATTAACTTAACAAATAAAAATAATCGATAAATATATGCATTTTTTATTAAAAATTTTTTTTATTGAAATATTTTAATATAAATTTTAATAATGTGTCTTTTAAACTTTATATTTCTTGATTTCATTATAAGTACGTAAATTTATCAAAAAATTTTTTAGCATGTTAATTTATTATTTTGAGAATGATAATAAATATATTGACTATTTTTTAGTTTGTATATAATTTTTCATGTTTGATACAAAATTTTGTATCAAAAATTAATTTTTTGTACAAAAAGCGACGTAAAATAATTTTACATAAGAATAATATTTATGTAAATTAATTTTTTAAATTTTCTGATTAATTTTACATTTTGATAATGCAAAAGTTATTTACTTTCAGAAAGAAAATAATTTTATTATATTTGTGAAGAAGCTATATCATATTAAAAACTTAGAATTGGATTATATCTTTTTTAAAGATCAGGTTATACAATTTTCTCCTCGAAAATTTGTGTGCAGTCAGCTTTTTGTCTTTTTCGCTGTCAATCTCTTCTTTCAATATGGGTCAACTTGATTATGCCGAGACATGAATGGTCGCATAAAAATAGGAAGAACGATGCTTCATGTAGGTAAAGTGTTGCAAATAAAGGAAAGTGAAAGGCAAAAGAGTTCAATAAATTTTTTTTTGTTTCGTCATTTTTTGATGAAGAGAAAATTATGATGCAAAGGGTAATAGCCATACTTGATATTGATAGATTAAATGATTTTATTAAATTTTAAATAACAGATAGATTTTTGTAAACAGAAAATAGTATTTTATTAGATGACACGTACAAATTATCGTTTCTATGTTACAATTTAGCAATTGCAGATTGAGCAATATGCTTTCTTTAAATTATTTTTTCATCGAAAATGTTACTAGAAATTATAAACACCAATAAATTTCATGAAAAATGTTCACAAATTACAATTGTATCATGTTTTTATTAACTACATATTCAAGTATATGTACTCTATAGTTTGTATGATAATCGCAAATTATAAGACTCGCTACTTTTTTTATTACTAACCGACTAACACAACTTGTTACATTTTTCCATCTTCTTTCTTTCATTTCTTTTAGTTAATTTTCCGGGATACACTCCTACAGATAACATATTAAATAAATGGGATTAATTCTCAAAATTACTAGATTTCGATCATGTCATTACAAGTCATTTATACTTGTTTTCTGATAGGAGTCAATCATCCGTAATAAGTATCGCTCTTTTATCATTCGGCATTAATAGATACCGGATTATGTATATTTAAATTGGGAAAAAGTTAATGAAGAAATTTTGGAAAATATTTTACAATAAACAATATTTATATTAAACAATATGAATGAATTTCATTAAAGAATCGGCTAATAGAATATACGGAATAAATAAATGAATCTGAAAAAAGTAATTTAATATCTAATATTGCTATTTAATATATGAACAATTAAAGAAATTTTTAAAATTTGTTGGAAGATATCTTCCGTCAAATTTTTTGTATACGTAGAAACATTTTACAATGATTTGATATTTATCGTAATTATGATAGGCGGAATAGTTTATGCACGTAATAGTCTACGCATTATGCTTAGTTGTCGAAATGTCAAAATGATATAAAGCATGTCATATATTTTACGTTAATTGGAAAGTTAATTTTTAACGAATTATAATCTGAGTCCTGTTTTAATTTCTTTGGATTGTAGATGATTGCATATAACATCGTGCGCATATATCATATTTTAATATTAAAAAGCTTAACAGTATCACTGCAATGCTGTGCTTTGTATAGAAACGTTACAATTATTTTTCATTTTATTCTTTTAGTAGTTATGATTATTTTATGATTGATTACGTTATGCTGTTTTTAATAAACATTCAGTGTCATTAAAACAATTATTATGAAAAGCACCTTTTTTATCGATTTTTTTAAATTTTACATGAATGATTGAAATATCATAAGCACGTCGTTTATTTGCACGTGAAATTCTTCTTCATGGCGGCACGTGCCATCGGTAGTTATCGCGTAAGATCGCATAGTGGCTATTTCCGCCACTACGTTGCGCTATTTCTATCACGCTCCGGGGGTACATGGACTTCAAAATTGATGTTTGTCCTCGTCGCATCGGCTTTCCATTGACGCCCCAAAATAAATCGCCAATCGACGTAACCCCCGCCAGATATATCGACTGGATGCATCCTCGCTTCTAAATCGGGGATTCGTAAAGTAATGCCAAATAACCGTGGGCGACTTTTACATCTTATACAAAAGTAGTCTACAAATAATCAATCTTAAAAACGCGAAAACTAAGATATTTCGATAATTTCAACTGGATCAAATTCTTCCATTTAATTTTTTTCATAATTATTCGACAGCTCAATTTTAATTCCTCATCTCGTCTGTTCTCTTCGTGATGTTAAAATTTGACAGAAGCTATTTTGTTTATTTAATATAATTTTTTTTTGCTTATCTGATATTGAAATATATAATATTTTTAGATATATTTTCAATATTGTATTATCGTAAAGATGCTTTATATTGAAGCCTTTTCAGGCAAATTATACATCACCTTCAACATATTATCAACGATTAAAAATTTGTTTATTACACAGAAAGAGTGATATTTTAAAAGTTAAAATATCACTCAAATTTAAAAGTAGAAAGAAAAAAATCTGGATTTAGCTAAATACACAAGTCTAAAAATAATTTTACTAAACCATCAAAATAATTATATAAGATGCTCAAGTATGATGAATGTTGCAAAAAATTTTGACATTCTAACAATTTGAGCGCGTTACATAATTATTTGATGGTACAACAAAATTATTTTCAGATTTATTTCTAGCTAAAACAAATATGTATTTCAGCAAAACCGTTCTTTTCTGTAACAATAACTTTTCGTTGCGAAATTGCTATGGAAGAGTGTTTATCCAGATGAATAAATTTTTATGAGATGACAGTTTCTTTATGAGAATGTTTGGTCGAGCTAATTTTTGGAACTCTCAAAAGAACGACTATTTTTTTATTCATCTTCAAAAAAAGATGCCACTCGACACTCATGCGTGATGAGTTATTTCATTACATTTGCTATTTAATTATATTTGATTATATTATAATATTTTATTCATTTATATGATTTAATTGAGTTTAAGAAGAAATTTTTATTTATTTAAAATGGATAGAGGCTAACTTAACTCAATGTGTTATTTTGCTTCTGATATATTATTATTTTCAAAGTCGTTTGATATTTTTGAAGATATTCAATTCTACTATTTCAATTGTTTGACAGTTAATTATACGCTTGGCAACATACTGATGTAATTCCCGATTGCCGCTTCGACAGTCACCTAAATCATATATTTCCCATCTGTTTGACTATCACCAGAATTGACGCGCATTCATCGATTGCTCTTGACATACTTTCAATACCAGTATATACATCAATTTCAATTGAGATTGTTAATAAATAGGCTTTATATGCAGAATATATATTGTAGATTATAGATATGCATGGTGTGTTTCTATTTTTATTTGACCATTAGAACATCAAGTATAGCAGCTTAGTAGATATGTATACCACGCGTTTATGAAATATCTATTAATAAGATAGCCTGTGCGGACCACTTTCTGGTAAACTGAAAGTGTACTTGCCTAATGTAAAGACTACAACATTTACGATGACATAGTTAATTAAAAATCAACAGAAAGTTTGGTGAATTTCTACAATTAAATCTAATCTACGATGTACAACTTTCTCTCTCAGTCTATAATTTTAATCTATAATCTCTAACATAAAATACATTTTATTTAATATAAAAATTTTAATAAGTTTTAATTTAATAAATTTTTGTGCTACATTAGTAATAGTCTTAGAATGGTTTTGTATGCGCTACACAAATTTTATTAGACTATGTTTCTATAGATCAACGTATGAATTTTGTTTCTAATATAGCATAATGTAGTCATTTTTATGAGAGAACCTTCCTCTGATCTATGAAGCTATACGTCATGCATATGTCAGGTATACTGAAAAAACAGCGCATTATAACTTCTCGAACGTGTAATTAGAGAGTTATTAACGATATTATGACTATGATTATTATAGATCGCTGCCGAAACTCAGCAGCCAGGACGAGGATGGGACGAACCCCCACACCCAATACACAGGCGTCACACACTTCGAACCCATACCGCACGATCATGATTTCTGCGAAAGGGTCGTCATCAACGTAAGTGAGAATTTTATTATTTAATCATTTTAATTGTTTTGCATTACCACAGTTTGATAAACAGCTTCCAGAATGATAAACAGTCAAAAGATCTTTCCAATGATATATCTCACAGCGTTTCATCGTTTTGAAAAAAATATTCCTTACAGTATAATATTTTTATTTTGTATCAGGTTAAAGAATTCTTAAGAGACATGTTAAAAACTTTTGGCTCTTTATAACCTTTGGCGCCACTGATTCTTGGATTGAAAAATGTTCGACTCCAAATGCCAAAAAAGTTTCGTCTTTACGGAGCCTTGGCACTACGGATCTTTAATATCGCGAATTCTTGATGCCATAAATCCTAGATTCGACGGTTCTCAAGGCAAAGGCAGTAAAATATACTACTGATCTCTCATATGTAAATATAATTCCATTTTAATATTGTTCTTTAATTTGTTTTTTTCTCATTGTTTCTGTAACAAGTTTTTTTTATCACTACGATCGGAATTATCGCGTATTTTTATTACGTAGGTAATTCCAGTCCGGTTCGACATTCACACGCTTTCTTTTTTTTTTTTTTTTCTGACGAAGTGAGATTATCTCAAGACATGGAGTGACCTACAGACTGCGTTTTGGCGGCCATCCAAGTTCGTCTTGGAATCGGAGGCGATATAGCATCAAGGTTATATTGTGTGAACGGAATTATCTGTCCTCGCAGATGACACGACTGCATTGCGCCAATTACAGCAATCGATTTAATCGATGCATTTTACTTTTTTTTTTCTTTTTTTTTCTTCTTATCTCACGGTGGGTCTCGATAGAGGTCAAAGCACGCCACATGACGCGTGGGTGAAGCGTGTGGGTGTAGGAATCGCCGTGCAACGTGCACTAATATGATATAACATATGCTTTTCTTTTCAGTCTTAATTAAAAGCAGAATATTAAAAACAATTGAACAGTATTTAAATAAATCTGTTTTATAATGATCTTTCGATTTATTTTTGAAAGAAACGTTGTTCCTTTATGACGAATGGGCAATGCATTGCATTATTTTCTCTATACTCGATGATTCTTGAGCGTAGTTTTATTCAAAAAACAGCTTTCAAAATGATAAACAGTCAAAAGATCTTTTCCATGATATATCTCACAGTATTTCATCGTTTTGAAAAAATGTTTTTATTTTGTATCAGGTTAAAGAATTCTTAAGAGATGTTAAAAACTTTTAGCTCTTTATAACCTTTGGCGCCACTAATTCTTGGATTGAAAAATGTTCGATTGAGAAATAGATTTATACAGAGCGAAAATGTTTTGTTACTAAATTTACATTTTGCTGCCTTTACTTTTTTTTCGTTTTCTCTCTTTGTTTTCTCTCTTCTTCATTTTATCAAAAATGTTTTTATTTTTCTCAAGCGTGAATTCGGTTCTTCAAGAGTGAGTGACTTAATTGACTCACTATTGTTGAATAAAAAAATTTTTGAAATTTTTATATATTCTTTGTCAATAATAACAAATCGATTATTCATTAAAAATCACAATATTTTATACTTAAAAATATAAAGAGAAATTAATTGTTTTTTTTTTTTCAAATTAATATACTTATTGTAAGATGATTGTAATCCATTCACAAAAACGGTTTTCAATTATTTTATTCTTTAATTTATAATTCATTGTTTAGACATTTTTGTTTTCGCAATATCATTTACACAATTTCTTAGTAATGGAATTGTTGATTCAAGAGTTTAAAAATATTATTTTAAATTACGTATATTTAGCTTTATAAATTTAACGTAGCAAATATTTAATTCTATAGTTTTTAAAAATAATAATGTTATAATTGTATGAATTTTTTATTATAAATATCTTATTTGTCAATATAATTAATTCTCAATTTGATCACTAATGCATTCACAAAAGGTATCTTAAAAGTATTTTTAAAAATACTGTGTATACACACACACACACACACACACAC